GGCTAATGATAACCATCAAGACGCCTGTCATTTGATATAAATAAATGACTGAACTGAGAAAGAACTACTTTTAAACACTCAATGAACTTATCAACTACCTTTAATTTCTCTGCGAAGTTCAAAATTCTAATTGCGGGTTTTGTGCATTAAGCCGAAATTGGCAACCACAATCTACTTTATCGAATTATCTTTTCATTATGATTTGTTTATACGTCGTTCCTCTTAACAATAGGTATTTGATTCTTTAAACAAGTAATTAAATCTTAAGGCGAATCCTAAATTTGCGTTTATTTTCAAGACTTCTCGAGATTATAATGTTAAGAAAAATTCCTTCATTTTGATAACAGATATGCCAGTGAACGAACGTTGGTACCAGCTACTTTTCTGCCATCTTCTTTGGTGAATAGATAAACGAGTTGGGTTTCTAAATATATATATATAGTAATCAATTCACTCCATATTTAGCATGGCCCAAGGCGTAATTTTCTCCTGAAATCTATGTCTGCCAATCCTCCATTTACAAAATAACTTGAGTCTAAACCACATCTTGGTCCTCTTGCGCACAAAGAGATGCTCAACTTCACGTGATGTGTTAATTAGGGCTTGGACACCCCGAGGAGTAAATAGCTATTGGAATTTTGCAGACACTATTACACATTTGACGCCTGTCAACTGACTTTTTATTTTCGGTCCCATAGCGACATCATAACCATTTAACCAATTTGAGAGTTTTTGAATAGAACTTTCCATGAGGTTTGAAGGATGACTTGATTCATATTTAAATTAATTGGTGCACCAAATGAGCGCGTTTAGAAGATAAGACGATAAAGGAAACTATGCCTTCTGGTGTTTATCATCTGCTTTGGATGATTAACTGCATATCTCCGGGACACATTTATTTTCTAATGACAATACAAATAAAGTAACTAACTAAATTCATTTTCAACAATGGTTGGAAGGAAATGCTAATTCAAAGTTACAGTGCTCCTGCTTTCGAACAGCCTCGTTTAAATAAATGATCTCGAACACACTTAACTTGTCATTGGAATAAATCAAAATGCACTTTTTGAATAATCTTAAAATAATAAAAATGTAAGCAATCGATTTTTTTTTCCTCAATAGCACGTAAGCAATCCTTCTCAGATAACGGCTTCCAATTCACAATTAGAGAGAAACGCATCAACGGACTGGAATAGAATTTTTCTAAATCCCCTCCCGGCTTTAGCTTCACCCCTTTTGATATTGATGTAGAGTTACCGAGTTAATAAAATGGATGAAACACTAATTGGAGCACTTGCTTATATACGCATATCAAGATATTATTTCAGATAACATCGTAACTTTATTTGTCAACCTGTTCTTTTATAACTTTTGAACAGTCTCCTTTAGTTTCACATACCAACCAGAGATATGAAAGAGGAAGGAAGAAGATCTGGAGTTTAATGAACCAATCCCTATTGTAAAAATAAATGTACCTGTATATGGCATGTTTGTTTATCTGATTGGTTGGTCAATAGAGCCAGGGGCTGATTGTTTATTGGCTGTCTGACAATTGTAGTCTGAGCGTGAATTTCGACAAATCGATCGTTCACTATAACTGCGTTCTCGATCTGATGTACCAAGACTACTAGATTTAGTTACCTTGACAACAATCCGTAGATAACCATTTTCATTGAGGCATGATGAGCTGTCGTTGAATTAAGTTAGTAAAATATGGAACTGGTAATTACAAAGTAGAGATTCCTGTTTTCCAGTGCTACTATACGCCTTTTTAAAGGAATGAAATATATGCTTAAGCAAGTCTTTTTGCCAAGATCAGTGTCCAACCCAACCGTACTTCGTCCTTATTGTTAATGTCATACAGTTGGTCTCGTAAGATATATTTATATCAAATGGCAGGCGTTTTGATGGTTATCATTAGCCCTTTAGTTGATTTCAGGCTTCACAGAGGGGAAGGAACATCAATGCACGTCTTCATTATATATTTATATTTCGTCTTATGGGGTGTGCGATAGACTTACCTCCACGTGGTGCACCCTGGGCAACGTATACTCATACGGCAAAAAAGTCTATTAACCGGCAGTTGACTTCTCACTTCAAACTACCATCACCCCGCTGTATGTCATATTCGACTACTTCCACATTTCTCGCCTCACCTTTTTTGTACCTTTGTGTCCGTCTTTTTATTCCACCCCCCTCTCGACTTTTTCACTCTGATGTTCCTTCCCTCTGTGGAGCATGAAGTCAGCTATATGGCTAATGATAACTATCAAAACGCCCGCCATTTGATATAAATAAATATTTCATCATATGAGTAAACGAAATTTCTAAACCTTAATTCTTCATATACCTAAAAAACAACAGATCTTAGAAACTGCAACTTTGGGAAGGTATGTTTTGATTAGACCAAATCTAGCCGTTTACTCCTCGTTAAGACCTGTCAAAAATACAACCGGAAGTGAATTGTATATAAGGCCAGTTTTGTGCTAAAATACTGAGTCACCTCCAACGTTGAAATATTCCACGAAATAGTTAGACTGAGAATGGGACAAGGAAATAACTAAAAGACAGCATAAGCATAAGAATTCAATGCGCTTCTAAATTATTTATATAGTATATGCATACTAATGAGCGTTAGAGAGTATTCACATATTGATTAATTTAGTCAACAAGGGAGAGGAAAGGCAAACGGTCCATTTAAATAAAGATTATCTCAAGTGGCACAAAATTCAGTAGAAATGAATCACCAGAATACATCACTAATTGTGTTTAATTAGTCAATAAACCTATCAGCAGTTTGCAAAAGTAAATCTTAAAATAGCTTATTGCTTACGAAGACAAACTCAACAATACATTTTAAATAGCGTTTGAAGCACTTTTAATCACCCCTAGCAGATACGAACACATCAATGTGACATTTAAGTGCCCGTTCGCAGTTGAAACAGTGAATAAACACTACCAGCTGAAGAAAGGTGTTTTTAAGGAACAACGCGATTTGAACCTAGATACGGATTGATTGATTAAGAATACAAAGTGATAGGTTGCAAATACCGTTTAAAGTGAAATATTTGCACAAATAGAAATGACACTATCCATTTTGGCCCTATATCTATTGCCTGACTTTACAAGCATGAACTAAAAGCGCTATTGATTTTAGATACTTCACATAGTAGACCATATAAAATATGTGTCAAATCCGTCCTAAATAGGCCCATTATTTAGGCGATATTTCACAAAGCAATATAATTTTGAACGAATTGAATATTTAGAAATTATAAGTGTCTCCACGAAGTACGAAAGTATAGGCTCACTTACGAAGGGGAGACTTGCGATTCTAAGAGCTCGTTCTCGCAAACTTTCGAATGCAAGAGCGATTTCCATAAAATCATTGCCCGTTTCCTCAGCATACCGTTCAACTAAGCGTATAGGAATGCCTGATTCACCAGCCTATAACGAAGGTAAATTCGAATGGTAAGTAAAGAAAATAGTATTTCATCGAAAAACATGCTGATGGTTAACATTACTGAATTTGTATAGGGAACCTTTGTGAGATCAATCCATTCAATTCTTAATCGCTCGGCAACAATAGCCTCAAGGTTATCGGTCTGTAGTTGAACATTCTGGTGTTGAAGAGATGATTCATCAATTTTAACGGATTTTGGTGTGGAGCCTGTCCGTTTACGACCAGAATCAGGAAGACCAAATCGATTCGCCTCACTGTTGGATTGATTCTTTTCTGAAGTTTTTCGTAGTATTCCAACTGGTGTTTTGGGCCGCTGGTAAAGAAATAAGTAGCATAAGAAACCAAATTCTAAAAGAAACATAGCATCGACTAAAAACTTACTCCGATGGGATATTCCTCCGGTATAGTATCCTTTTGTAATGACCCCATATTACCTCCTGCAAATTCAAACAAACGACGGTAAATGTAATTTCACCCATAAATTTACCATTGAAAAAACGTGCACCTGTTCTATCAAACACTCGAGGAGGTGGGGGAACTTTGAATTCACCAGAATAATTTGTTCCCAAACTATTTGAGCGTTGAGAAGCCAGGGAATCGTTCCTCGGAATGCCAGGAAAATGTTCTAAAATATGAAATGAAGGCAGTAAAATATGTTATCTTTGCTATATTTCATTTTCTATGGAAGTCACTACCAATTCTTTAATAAAAGACCAATTAATTCATCGGACTGTAAAACGCAAAGAATAAATAATTTTGTAAAGCCCAAAAGATGTCATCAATCAATTCATATCAATTTATTTATGCAATTTAAAAGTTTGATGCGTGTCCTTCAAGTTATACGTGCTAGCCTGAGGTATTTTTTTAAAGGATTAGCCGAATTATGCTAAACAAAAATAGATTTACAGACACTTTTGTAAGGTAGCTTGTAAAAAATCTCTAGAACATATAAAATTCCCTTAATCGAGACTGCTGCAAACTAACTTGGATCAATTTGACAATTGATTACATAGTTGGACATTCTAAACACGGCTCATCCAACCGAGTGCAGAAAGTCTGTTTGTTGGGGAGCTGGGCTATTTCCCACAGTCTGCTATTTAACTTAATAAACTGGAAAGGCCACAACTACCCCAACGGAGGCGATTATTATCACTAACGCGAGAGAGAACATGGAGCCGACGTCGTTGTGGTATTTCAGTAAATGTCAATGAATGAAGGAGCTGGTATTAAAATTTCGACCAAAATTGCTGAATAGTGTCAGATAATTCGGCTATCTCAACTGATATTTGTATTTTAACCTCCGTTAACTGGCTTGAAAGTTAAATAGCAAAATTAAACTAATGAACTTGCACATCTCACCTGCTGTATGCGATAGACTTACCTTCACTTGGTGCATCCTGGACAAGGTATACTCATACGACAAAAAGTCTAATAATCTGCAGTTGACTTCTGACTATTAACTACCATGACCAGACACTATGTCATATTACACCACTTCCACAGTACTCATCTTACCTTTTCTCTGCCTTAGTGTCTGTCTATCTCTTTAAATCTATGAATCACTCTTCTGTTCCTCCTTCTCGAAATGTTTGTGACTTTGGTGTTCCTGCACTCTGTGAAGCCCGTAGTCAGCTAAATGACTAATGATAACCAACAAAACGTCTGCCATTTGAAATAAATAAATACATATCACTCACTTCGAACTCCAAAATGAGGTTCATGAGCATTATTCTTCACGCCTCCGGTAGATTGAGGTAGTCTTGGATCAGTTTCTTGGCTAAAATTGTAAATAAGGCTTACAATTTGCAATAATTTTTGATAGCATTCTGTTTTAATAAGCGATTTAGTTTCTAATATATGAAAAATAATAATAATAGAACCACACTTTTCGAAATATTTGTAAAGCAGACGAAAGTTTTTTGCATGAAATAAAAGTACCCTAATTTAAATTCGATCATGCATATTGCAATCTATGGTATTATTATCGATTTACCTAACCAAACAAAAATAGGAGCAAATTTTGACTGGTAGAGGCGTTTGAAGAAGAAAGGAGGCAGGTAACTCAAAGAAGTGAAGGATATATATAAAATGCTCAATATACTCCGACTTCTGAATTCGTCCAGTTTGTTACCCTTTACACTTGTGGTCATTTCAATCCTCTAATTTCTTGATGTTCCAAAGTACAAATGTCAGAAGTTGAACAATAGACTACAGTATGATTCAACTCACAGGGTAAGCGAAGGTTTAATTATTAGTTGACTTCATGGCTAATTCATTTTTTTGCATGCATATCTCATTGCTTACTATGGAGCTATTAAGATATTTTAAGTAGAGAAGAGTTTACTTAGATTCATTAATATATTATATAAACAACGTAATTGAAATGTGATGGCGCTTAATTTTAATTAGCCTATAGGCAATTTCAGAATTTTAAACGAACCCATGCAAATCCGCATTTCCTTGCAACAACCAATAATCGCTGGATGTAGGAAAGATGATATCACCACTAGCATAAAGACCAATGTTCGTCCTGTTCCCCATTGAGGCGTCTCTCTCTTCGTTAAGACAACACACTGGCATCTCTAAATGCAAAGTAAACAGGGCTTTATAAAGTTAGTGTTTAAAATTATTTTGTCAATATTGCTGAAGTCGTCAAAACAGATAATATAAGTAAGACTCCATTGGTTTCAAAAATATATTTCTTCTAAAAGTATTAAGAAAATATGTCCGTGTTATTGAAACTATTGAACATCTTTTCCATTCTAATTGAATTATTTAAAAAAGCTATAATACCGCATTATTAAGTCGAAATTAAGTAAAATTTCCACATGATACTTAATAACAGGGCTGTATTTATTGCAGCATCGGTTTCTCACAATTAGCATTGATTAAGAATTTTCTGAGTCGAATTTACCAGGCTTTTAATATACAATGCATTGTATAAAATTTAAATATGAAATGATTACTAGGTTGCTTGGATACATTGGCAGTACTTTTGCTCGAAACTAAAATGCCATTTAAAATGTCGATTGGAGAGTTCACTAATAAAATTATGGATTAAATAGCATCATAGAACAAAGTAATGATTTAATTTACAAAAGGTGCGAGTTAACCTGCATTTTTGAATAACCAATATACTATTTCACCCTGTGTAGATGATGCTTAGTGAGCTAACGTTAGGTTAATAGAAGCTTAGCTAGTTTAATGATTTGAATTATTACTTAAAATATGCAAATTCTATGTGAAAACGAGTGTTCATAATTCGTAAAATATTTTGTAATATCAGACATAAACTTGGGGAATTTAATTCCTCAGTCCATTAAAATGTAGATCTTATTCTCTAAAGTAACTGGAAAACTATTTAACATTGGGGTTGAACTCCATGAGCATTTTAAAGGTGTTTCGGACAAGGCGATGAGGATTACTTGCAGAGTTCATGGGCTAACTCGACTTTTCAAAAATATAATTCTTATTTTACTGGCCTTTGCATTTGAAATGTGCTATAATTATATTTTTACATTTAAAAAGTATTTATGAAGCAAATGTCGAATCTCCGTTGTTACAGTTCGAATGGATTTAATGATAATAGTACCAGAAGTTAGGATCTCGAAGCTGTGAAGCCAATATATTGCACACTAGCTCTAACAACTAACATCAAAAAAACGAATTATAAAATTAACTTCTGAAACAGCAGCTAAACTGGAATAAATATTAAAAGGATGAAATATAAGGCGAAAGACGATAGAACAGGAACAAATTTAGTTGGACAGTGGTGTCACTTGTGCCGCCACTTTTTATCTTTATTGATCGGGGGCGTGCGATAGACTTACCTCGACGTGGTACACCCTGGACAACGTATACTCATACGGTAAACAAGTCTATGAACCGACAGTTGACTTCTGACTTCAAACTTTCATGGCCCGACCCCTTCCACAGTACTTATCTTACCTATTCTCTGCCTTTGTATCTGCCTGTCTCCTTTAAATCTGTGAATTATTATTCTGTCTCCCTCTCGTCTTTTTGTCGCTTTGATGTTTCTCCTCCTCTCTATTAAGCCCGAAGTCATTTAAATGGCTAATGATAACTATCAAAACGCCTGCCATTCAAAATAGATATATAACTAAATCTTTATTGATCGAAATTCTCATCACTTTAAAGGTTATCTACTTTTGGTGATGAATCAAGGACGAGGAGTGGAGACTCGCCCAATGGGTTCATGAGTGAGTTATTGTCGAAAAATTCGTATAATTTGTTATACATTGTTCTAATATACCTTAATACCAGCTCACTATAGTCAATTTAAGTTTCTTTTTAATAATACTGATTTCGTTGACACTAACTAGATAAATTTATAAACTACTTACATTAGAAATGCTATTATTTTTTGTTAAATACGCATTCACACTCATATCAGCTTTGTGTATTTTCAAATAGTTTTAATCAAGGATAGTCAAATTTTAAGCTGAATATAATTTTTTTCAAAAAAGGTGATCATCAGAGAAAAGAATTAAATATTCAAATTATTTTCGTTGATTTAATTATCCGGAATAACTTTTAAAATTTATTAAAACTGTTCCTTCTAAAGATTTAATTTGTAGGCAAATTTAAAGCAGAAGAGTTAAAAAATTGCAAAATATACAATTCCTTTTCGTTAACGTAATTCTACATGTTGCAGTCCATTTTTTCATGCAGAGATAATTAATGAGGGTTAGCTAAATAATCTTAGAAAGATTGAATTTAGTGCAAATAGTAGACATTTTCAGATCTATTGAAGAAACGTAACAATTAAAAGTAGCCAGGTTTTCAAATGAATCACATTTTTCTGAGTAGTCTTTAAACTGCATGTTAAATATATACCAAAACATAGCATTAATTTTGTATGTTCAACTTAATTTTCTTAAGCTACAAATTTTGATTTAAAACACAATGGAACTCACCGATGCGAGAATTTGTTAGGAGTTGAGCCGCTGTAAGAAGGCTCGCACGAACCTCTGCACTTTCTACTCCCATGTCTATCAGTCGCTGACGTGTCAAGCACCCCAATTGGTCAATTCTGGAGAAACCATTTTGCAGAAAACGCTGATGTAAGCTCTGAAATAAAAAGATGGAACAAAATTTTTTTGCCGACACTAAGATAAATCGTGCAATAGAAGCATCAGCAATTTAGCCGAATGAGGTCTCTTACTAATAATGCTACAACGGGTAGCATTCTTATTTCTACATTTCAATATTGGATTTCAGTATATATATAGTAGCTTTAGCTGATTTTGCAGAGATATCCAAACAGGTTTATCGAGTTTATACTGTGAGGATTGAAGTAAACACTTTGTATTATTAACGTATTTAAAGTTCTCAAAATCTTCACTATTTGGATTTGTGATAACTCGCTTGTTAGAAATAAGCTGATTTCAGTACAGGTACTAAACAAATATGCACTTTTATAATGATCTAGGTCTCAATATTTTGCTATTTTTGTTGCCAAATTAAATAAACCCTTTATGGTGTTTCCTAATTCATCTTTTTTTAATTTATTAAGATTAGAATGGAATTTTCTATATCAACAAACATAACATACAAGATTTGAGGTAAATTACATAATAATGACTAAATGTAACCCGAATGTGCAGATCGAACGCTTCTTTCGAACAGGGCTTTGGTTATTTAAAAATAATTTAATTTATTGAAATTTGACACCAATGTTATTCACACATGTAAATACTTTGTAGTCTTTTTAAGGACTAATTAATCCCAAATGGGAAGAGAGCACAGTTTTTCCTACTTCATTTTACTATTCAACAAACGAGCCAAGAAAAATAGAATAAGTGAGTGCATAGTGGTAATTTTTTTGAAGGTGTCGTTAAATAAGCTTTAGGGCAAGAGTCTATGTGGATGGACCTGTTCATGAATGCATAGCGGGTTGATGGTGGGCAATGGTGAATTTGAAGCTGCCGTTTCATTATTTTCAATTATATTCATACAATCAAATAATTCTTTTGGATTAAGTTATTTTCACTTACTAAATGACAGAAAACTCACAAAGGAAAATAAATTTGTTTTGAGGGATGGAAATTGCACGAAAAAGCTAAGCTTCTGTGAGCTGTGGTTCATAAATTATGAAAGAAGTTGTGGCTAGCCGTGGTGAACTGTGTCTTCTCCGACACTCACATTTCAAATGATATTTTTCGAAAAATGCAGCTATTCTGGAAATAAGGACTCACGGTGGGAAAAATAGTCAACCTTTTGAGTTTTAACAATGATAGCACCTTCATCACATACCAACTTAGCACATTGCATTAAAGTTAAAACGTTTGCTTTGATTCCACTAACGTCCATGTTTTATAAAACTATTCCTAATCTGCAGGATAAATGACACATTTTTTTAATATTGTCAGGAAAACGGGAGCATTAAACTTCGACTAATGGTATCGACTGGCTAACCTTAGTTTTAGAAGAGGATCACTTGACGAAAATTGACCTTGTGGAGTACACAGTCATAATACACTTGAACTAAACAATTACGTACGTGTTTTAATATTCTGCAACGCATGGTCGTAATGTTTATCGCGTTAGGAAGAAAATGTGGTCGCGTGTTCAGAGACCTCATGACTAATAAACAATCAATAATTATTACTGGGTTATCATACTCAAAAACAACCCAGATAAACATAGTCCACATCATACCTTTTTTCCCTTTATCGTCGAGGCAGCTTAGTTTAGATATTCCATACAATGGTATTTAGATATAGAGATCGAGGCTTGTTCTTATAGCAGTTAAAACAGAAAGCTTAGAACGATTGAACAAATCAAAATGAACTGAAATTAATTTGCATAGTCAGTTGCAAACTGAGCCCCACTTTCTGTTCCTTGTTTTACTTCACTATTCTTCCCATATTTGCACGTCAATTGCCAGATTTTACTTATTTCCCAGCACTTTCTGCCCAAAGATGTAAAAAAACAAAGACCTGAAACCACAATAAAAATTAAAATTCTTGCGCCGGTTGTATCAAAAAGCACTAAAATAAATTTGCTTGTACCAGAATCCTATTTGGATGATCGAATACTTCTAATCACTGTAAATTCAATTCCAGTAATATATAGTAGATAAATTGAAAGTGGGGGTGTTTTAGATTTCTCCAAATAAGCCAATTGATCTGCTTTTTATGGTCATTAAGTAAGGGCGTCATTGAAATAAGGACTTTAGTTGCTTAAGCAAATTTCTATGCTATTTACAAAAAGAAATTTGATAACACTTCCACAATGTTAACTACACATGTCAAAAATAAACATTAATTCGATCGTTAAAAAATTGTGCGATGCATAGTTATATTATTATTATTATGTTAATACTTCATTCTGATACTTTAAATGAAATATTCATTATTCTTGATGAATTTGGTACTATTTTGAGAGTAAATTCAAGAGTAATAATTAACTGACATTGTCTACTTTATCTTCAAAGTGATTTCTTAGCAGATTCCAATGCACCAACAGCATTGCATTCTCTAAATTGGAAAGCTACTTTGGTCATGTTTTTTATCACCCAGTTTTGTAATAACCGAGTAAATATGTGCTGGGTTATAACTTAAGACAAATCTTGAACAAATTCGAGCCAACTGTAACCCACTGTCATTGACACGTTATTTTCCCGTTAGGAATCAGTGAAAAAGGCCTTCAATCTGTCTCGGCCGCATTCTCCAACTGAGATTTAAATGGTTCGAATTACATTTTCCCAAAATTAGAGTGCTGGGATTCGGCTTACTTTAAATTCTTTAGAAGTTTATTCATTATGATTTAAGTAATAAAGAACGAGATAATTTGGTGAGAAAATGCAATTACTACTTTCATTACACAACTTTTGACTGAAATTAAGGCGTGTAAACCATACAATGGCCTATTTTTTTAGTTCATTCGATTAACAAATTGACAAATTAATACTCCCCCCCCACAAATACTATTTGTTCAAATAGATACAAACGTTTATATATTACAATTAATGAAGCAAAAGGAAACATGTGAATATTAATTGCATGAAAGATAACGACATCCTTGCAGTTCGCGTTCCAATGTGTATCAATTATTCCTGAGCACCTTCAGGATACTTGAATACGACTTTTCTGCTAGAGACTAATTACATAAATTGAGATCTCAATTATCTTGTTGTTTAATAATCGCATTTTTATAAGGCTAAGATCTGGAATTGGAAAAGATATATTTTTTGCAGTTAGTTTATCCGGTATATGTTGAGATTCAGAACACCTTGCCACTTAAAGGTTCAAGTGGATTAATGTACTTAGAATTAAAAACCTACAGTACATCCACTTATATTTTACTTGCTTGACCTAAAGCAAGAATTTGGGGCTTCACTCTTACTAGTGAGAAACGTAGATATTGGCATAAATTAATTGATCAAGCCTTGAGAGTACCATTGCGTGCAAAAAGGAATATTTACTTTTCCAAATTCAATTTTAGAATGTGAACTTTAACTCGCATTTCAATATTTTTTATTTAGCTTTTATATGAGTGTATAAGTAAAGGTAAAAATGAGACAAAATGATTATCTATTTGCATGATTATTTTTGCTAACACATTGGCAAAAATCAATAAACGCCAAACAAGGTTACAATAGATGCTTCTACCTATTTATATGAATAAATGAATGGATTACTTCAGATAATGCATATCTTACCAATTAATATACATTTCTAAGCGTATAAGCACCGTGGTTTTAATAATTTTTGCTGAAAAGTGATAATCTAAAAAGGCATTCTTTAAATATTTTTTTAATACTCCACAATATCTACGCACATAGGCTGGATAAAGGGATGATATGTGTAGTAAGCCAATTAAAATTTTAAAATCTTGTTGAATTTTCAACAAACCTCTAATCCGAGCTTTTGCAGCAAAGCCAGCAAATCCTGCGTCCCTCCTAAATGTCTTCCTTGACTGTGATAAGTTTGCTGCTGATTTGGCAAATAAAGTCTGCTGTGACCGTGATGACGATTGGAATGACCATTGTTATGATTGTTAAAACGTAAATGACGGTGTCGTCTGAAGGCTTCTTCAAAATTGCTGACCCATGGACGCCGATAGGGTCGGTCGTAATCGGTATCATCGTCCTCTGTATTTTCAAAGCCATCCATTGGGACTTGTTCGTAGAAACTGGAACCATTTCCAGGACTACTTGGAGCTGAAAGACTCATTTCTGATTGTTGTGGAGAAAGTCCTCGCCTATAAATAATAAGATATTATAACCTTATTATTCGACTTTAATTAAAGCAAACAGTTGAGTGAAACGACATAAATATGCCCTGGTTTCATTTCTTTCATTTTAATTTCGCTTCATGGGGTAGAATTTAAAATATAACTATGGATATTTCCCAACGGGCTTAAATCTTGAATTTCACTTCAGTCCCACTGTTAATATATATACTAATATATGAAATTTTTACGAAAATTTACTTCAAGAATAAAAGGGTTGTGTAGTAATGGATAAACAAGGTGCCTAATTTACTCTGAGAACAGGCCACCCTATTAGCTTAGAGAATATTAAGTAGTATGATTGATAATTGTAATTAAGGAATATACCAATAAACACCAAATATGATTGGAGAGAATTTTATCCATAAATCGGGTGACAAATCATGAAATTAAAATTTTAAATTTAAATTACCCATTGGGAAAAAATTTTGCAGTACAAATCGGAAATTTCAATGAAATTGAACACTTTGGCAAAATTGACGCTACTCTCAAAATCTTTCTGGACCCTCTCCCCTCTTTTATTTTTCAGTGGATATTTAACAAACAATTATTGAAAATTTCTAAGTTAACAATGTTTTACAAATTTAATCTTATTATTAGTAACACTATATATATATATATATATTCAAATTTAAATGCTTCAAGTGTCAATTAAAGATGGAATTTTTAAGACACAAATGAAGTGTGATTGTAAAGTTGGGGATCGGCCATTGTAGCCTTTTACGAAATTTCAAAAATATTATTACACTAAAGCTAGAAAATTAGTATTATTAGATTAGTAAAATGCGCCCGATGTTCTCTAACCTGTAAGTAACTGGTGGCTTCCACCTAACCCCCCTACTGCGATTGGATCTGTGGATGGTCACGGGAGGCGGTTGTCTTTGACCACATGTAGTTGCAGGGAGACGGGAGTGTTCAAGAAGGGGTGTGGGAGAGTCATATCCAGAAACAGGAGATACTGGAGCGGATGACGATCGTTCGCTCGGTGCTAAATGAAAACGATGGAATGAATTGAAATGAAACCAAACTTTAACATTAGTGACTATTTACTTTTAATCACGGCTTTTGATTTAAATCGTAGATTAGTAGAAATTATTGCGAACCATTTTTTCCCAGTTAATGCCTTAGAAAGATATAGACACCTGAAAAACGCAAATGCATTTTAAGATTTTGACTTTTAAAGGCGTTCTAATAGGGACCCTTTCACCCTAAAATATTTCAAGAATTTGACATCGAAAATTGATC